TGCACATGGTCGTGTCACCTGCCCTCTCTGACGTGCACATGGTCATGAGACCTGCCCCCTCAGACATACTGATGGTCTTGTCTCCTGCCCACTCTGACGCGCAGATTTTCGTGTCAGCTGCCCCCTCTTATGTGCACATGATCATGCAGGTGCACGTGACCATGTTCACGTCAAAGATGGCAGGTGATTCGACCATCTGCACGTCAGAGGGGGTAGGTGACAAGACCATGTGCACGTCAGAGTGGGCAGGTGACAAGACCATCTTTATGGCAGAGGGGGAAGGTGACCCGATCATCTGCACATTGGAAGTGGCAGGTGACACTACCCGCTGCATGTCAGAGGGCAAGGTGACACGAACATCTGCACGTCAGATAATGTAGGTGAAACGACCATCTGCACATTAGAGGGAGCAAGTGACACGACCATCTGCACTTCAGAGTGGGCAGGTGACAAGACCATGTGCACGTCAGAGGGGGCAGGTTGCATGACCATTTTTATGGCAGAGAGGGCAGGTGAAACGACCACGTGCATTTCAAAGACAGCAGGTGACATGAACATGTGCAAGAATAAGAGGGCAGGTGACACGACCATCTGCATGTCAGAGGACGCAGGTGACATGACCATCTGCGTGGCTGAGTGGGCAGGTGACACGACCATGTGAACGTCAGAGAGGACAGCTGACACGACACTCAGCACGTCAGAGGGGGCAGGTGACATGACCATCAGCACGTCAGAGGGGGCAGGTGACACGATCATCTGCATGTCAGAGGGGCAGGTGACACGACCCTGTCCAAGTCAGAGAGGGCAGGTGACATGGCAATCTGCACGTCAGAGGTGTCCCGATCTGCAGGACACTTCTACAGTGGCGTGAACAGTGGGGGTCCTAGAAGGAATGACAAACAAGGAACACGAAGAAAGAGAGCAAGACAGTGTTCTGATCAAGCTCCAAAATTTTATTTGAAAGCAGCAGATATATATACTGGTAGTGGAAAGAGAGGGGGGGGTGAGGAGAAGGAAAGTGCTGGGCAGACACTAATTGGTGTTGTTGTATGCTATAGCTAGGGAGGGTTTATTCAAGGGGCATTTCTTATCCTAAAGGAACATCTGCTAACTGTCATGGTGAGCATAAAACATTTCTCAAGGCTGACTTAGCCTGGGTCACAAAGTTGTTTTTCTACATTCTTTAACTAAGTGCTATCTTATAGAAACTTACAGAAAACCATTAAGCTGTTTTTTCTCAAGGCCATAAAGATTCGCAGGAAACCATAAAGCTGTCTTTTTCTCAAAGCCATAAAGATGTTTCTCTTCTGGCCTTTTGGCTCCCAACAGGGAAGGAAAAGAGGGGTTTAGTTAGAATGATCAGAAAGGGAGGTCTTGGCAAAGAAAGGTATGTCTCAGTTTAGGTTTTCCAGGCTCTTCCTCCATGCAAGGGTGAACATGAGCGAGCAGAAAGCTCATTCCCAGTTTCCTTAGGAATCAACCCTATTAAAGGAAGGGCAAAAGGTAGAGTTAGACAGAAGCTGAATTACATGCAGGCTTGAGTACACCCAGGAGAAATCTAGACACAGCCTTGCAGACCTGAGTCATTTGGATTGAAAGGGTTGAGCCCTTAAACTTAGCTTTAGTCACTCTTTATCAGCTGCCCTGGGAAGGGAATGAACGCCATATCCATCACAAGGGCACGTCATCCTTCAACAGAGATGGATGCAGCAAGAAGAGAAGCTTCAGGGAGACAAGGGTAGAACGTAAAGCCCAAGTCAAGGTTCAGAGGTTTGGTATGTTCCTAAGGGGCATAAGCAGAAAGAAAAGGAAAGACTTGATCCGGAAAAGAAAGATTCGCTTATTAAGATGTTTCTATGTGTTGTATAAGGATTTATCCTCTGTTCTTCAGCTAAAGAAACAGACCCACCATTAAATCTTCAATTGTATCAGCTGTCTCTGCATCATGAATTTTAACGACCAACTTGCCGGTAAATGAGACTGAGCAGCTGGAATTTCCTCTTCATGCCTGAATATAATGAAGGGCGGTGATAGCAATTGCTTGGCATGTTTTATTTAGAAGGAAGAGGAAGCAATCCAGAAGGAGGATAAGGGAAGTGGAGGAGGGGGAAAAGGCTGGAGAAATCAAAGTTCAGCAAGAAGGAAGGAGAAAAGGAAGAAGAGCAGGAACACAGAAGTATGTGTTTGTATTTGAGCTCAGAGGAAAGCCGATTCTGTAATCTGCTTGTTTGTTATGTGATGTTTCTTACGAGCTCAGGGGAAAGCTAGTTCAGACAGTCTCTGAATGAGTTTCTAACCTTCCATTTAATCATTGGTTTATTTATTAATTTTTTAGAAGGTGCCTACAAAACGTGTACACAAATCTATGATTTCCTAGAAAGAGGGAGCAGCCTGTGGTGACTTCTAAGGACCCCTGGGCTCAGAAACTGATCTCTTTGTCATGAGACTTGTTATGGTTTGAATATGAAATGTTTAGCACAGGCTGATATGTTTGAACACTTGGTCCCCAGTGGGTGACACTGTCTTGGGAGCTTGTGGAACTTTTGGGACATAGGGCCTAGATGACCAATGTAGGTGTGGGTCGTAAAGGTTGCATCGTCTTTGGTGCCAACCTGAGCTTTCTGCTTTCTCATTCACCGAGATGTGAGACGCAGTGTTGGCAAGCTCCTACCACTGTAGATCAAGCTGCCCCAGATCCATGCTTTCCCCACCATGGTGCACTGACATCCCCTGAAAGCTTGAGCCAAAATACAGTCTTCCTCCCTTAAGTGGTTACTGGTAGTTATTCTTCCACAGTGACAATAAAATTAAATATAGAAGACCCAGTCAATGGGTGCTGGAGAGATGGCTCAGTGGTTGAGTATTCATTGCTCTTCTAAAGGACTGGAGATTGGCTCCTAGCACCCATATCATAATTGCCTATAACTCCAGCTTCAAGGGATTCAGTACCACTTTCTGGCGTCAACGGGTACCTGCATGCCACACATGCATACACACACACACACACACACGCACGCACGCACGCACGCACACACGCACACACAACACACACACACACACACACACACACACACACATTTCATAAAGTCTCGCCACTAGATGAGCAGCTAAAGTGAAGGAGGGAGAATCGTTTCCTATGGGAAGAGCTCCCTGAGAGGTTATCCAAATTCAAGTGGTCAGCCCTAAACACAGGTACATACGAGAAGCACTAAATAGACTCAGTAGTTGTTTGCACATATGTATATATGTAACAATAATAATTGAGAGGTTACAAAATTGAGAGGGAGTGGGGGATATGTGGGAGAAAGTGGACCGGGGAGAGAGGGATGGAAATGATAAAAATCCAGTACTGAAGTATGAAATTCTCAAAAAACTAAAATAATGAAATTATTTTTTTTAAAAAAAGTTTTCAGCCAGGCTTGGTGGCACACACCTTTAATCCCAGCACTTGAGAGGCAGAGGCAGGCAGATCTTTGTGAGTTTAAGGCCAGCCTGGTCTACATAGTGAATTCAGGTCAGCTGGGACTACAGGGAGACCCACACGACTAAGCAGAATAATAAATGAAATGAGGGAACACAGGAAAAATTGGGGTCTCTGAGTGTGATGGAGACTTGCTGGTTTCAGGTTGGCTTTAACTCAGGGATTAGGAACCTCGTGGCCACACAAAACTTCTACTGAGCCAGTGGCCCCAGATCCTTGTCTCAAGGAATCAAAGGATGAAATTCATAGGCAGCAATTCATAGATAAGTTTTATGGAGTTTTGCTTTCAAAAGGAAGTTTACAGAAGAAAGGCCTAAAAAGTTATTGCATAGAGAGAGCAAACAGAGGGCCCACTGCTAGGCAAACACAAGGGAACCCGTACAGACACCATCAGCCTGCTGGCCTAGTGGCTTTTTGAAGGAATTCCAGCTGAAATCGGATGAAGGCTGAGGAATTTTCTTGAGAATGGTTAGTTTTCGGAGTATATTGGGGGCTGAGCCAACTGGGGAGCCCTACACTCTGTACATGCACCGCTCCCCCCAATCAGTGGGATGATCATGTGCTGGTCACATGTGGTTTGTCCAACTGCATAAGCACTGAACACCCTGTTCTTACCCTGACTCATGCACAGGCCATGGCCAACCTCAGCCCACATTGCCAGTTGCTCACCTTACGTGATTGCTGATCCTTGACCTTGTTGGGGTCTGCTAGCTCTCTTAGCAATTAAACTGTGCTCTCTTAGTTTCTATGTTGTGACCAGCTTGTACATTTGCCTTAGGCCTTTTCCACTTAATGGTCTGAGGAGAATTAACTCATTCCAGCTAGTAGGTGGAGGCTATTTCGAATCGTTCTTCACTTTAGTCTGTTAAAATTGGCAGCTTTAGAAGCAAGAATACATGAAAGGGTGCTTGTGCTTTCTGCACGATCCCGGGGAAAGGGCCTTACACCAAAGGGCTTTATGCCAGCCAGCCGGCCTGCCAACACTGGCTTTTCCCCCAGAGCACAGTCATGTCTCTCTTTTGGTTAGCTCAGCTTTCTCACACCCAGATGCAAGCCCTTTTACATCTCGTCCTAAATGTGCCTGTTTTATAACAATGTGGCATTGCTAAAGGTGATTAAGCTTGAAAGATGTGCTGAAGACTAAGAAGTAGGTTCTAGTCTCAATGGGACTGTCTTCCTCTGAAATGTTTTTTCTCCTTAAAAATACAACCAAAGGCTAAAGGTTAATGAATAAGTATGTGATGCTTTAAAATACAGTATAAATTAGAACTAAATAAGTTATAAATATAGTAAAATACAGTATAAATCATAAATAAAACTGGATGACTTTCAAGACTCAGTTATAGAAAAGAAGAAACAGACTAAATAGACATCCCCCCCCACCCTGACACTGGCTCAGGAAAACAAGTCAGTCAATGAACAGTAAGCCCCTTAACTCACTTTTATGGTCATATGTTTTGTGACAGAGGGACCTGCAAGAAGATAGTCGTCCTGTGATGGAAAATGGTGGAAAGAGGAGGAAGAAGAGGAGGAGGAGAAGGAAGAGAAGGAGGAGGAGGAGGAGGACAGAGAGGGATGGAGAAGGACAGGGACGGGCTGAGGAAGGGGAGGATGACAACAGAGAGGGGAGGAGGAGGGCAGAGAAGGTGGGGATGGACCCTTAGGCTCAGGAGGAGGAAGGGGACAGGGAGGGGAGTGGGAG